AAACAAAACAAAACGCTGGGGTATATCTGAGGCCACCAGAAAGGGGCTCAGTGAAGGGATGAGACGGAGTGGGAGACGGCCGCGCCTGGGTGATGGGAGAGAGCAGGGGAGGGGGGTGGGGGAACTGCTGCTGATTTCATAGGGCAGCTGGGATGGGCGGTGGAGTGAGAACTAGGATTGTCCCATATACAATACAACTGCATATTGGACATACAGCCCGTACCATTCCCTATTCTATGAAATCCACCATCCTGGAGAGTGAAGTTGAAAGGCTGATGACATAAAGTCCATCTGGGATCGGGCATGATTCTGGGTGCCAAATGGAGCACAGGTCCCTCCCTTCTCAGGGGGCCAGGCTGGCTCTTCAGCCAGGCTCAAGGTGTAGGGCGCTGGCCTTTGTTGGCCCTCACTGGGACCTGGCTGTCCCTGAGTGGGCGGACTTCTGAAGCCTAACTCTTCTGGATCCCTTTGGCTGCATCCTCTATTCCTGGGCCACGTCCGTCCTTCAAAGGCTTCAGCCTCTCACAGATCTGGTCTAGAACACGGACTTGCTCCACATGTCTTGACAGCTCCCCGAGCCTGTCTGAGCTTTTATTCCCTTACCTATTTAATGAGAGTGGTGTGTGAGGGTCCACCAGGTAATTTGAGTGATGCCCTTGCCATCTCTGTCCCCTGCGGGTCATTCTACCCAAAGGGGTGCATAGCGTCGGGACCACCAACTCCTCCCAGAGCACTGAAGTCTCTGCTGCCTAGTTAGTGGGTCCCAGGGAAGCCAAGTGCGTTTGGAATGGTATTCCCATCTTGCACTTTGGGGACCCCCTCTGTGGTTCTGAGAGGAGGAAACAGCTCTAACCTTGGTGATCTCGACTGTGCTGGGCCCTGGGTTGTGAGGCAAACGGAGTGCAGAGGCCCTGGGGGAGGACGCGTCCCTCGCCACAGTCACTGTCCAGTGCAGTGGTCAGGGGATTTCCCAGGGTGCATTGGGCCAAGGGGCCAGACTCTGAAGTCCGCGGGGTTGAGGTCTCCACGCCAACCAGGTGACGGCAGCCTCCTTGCCGCGCCCAGACAAGAAAGCCTCGATCTAATCTCACTCTGAACTTTTCCCAAGGCTTTTGCTGCGCTTTGCTGTAGCTCCAAAGCTGCATTAGTGAGCGCCGGGCTCCTTTATAAATGGTCTGTGACCCCAGAGGTCTGCTCGCCGATGGAGCTGTCTATTTTAGGGATTGTGGGTGGAGGGGGCATCTCAGAGGCTTCTGGAAAATTCCTGACGGGATTGTGTCTGTGTCCTGTCTCAACCCTCCAATCAACAGATCAGACAGCTTGTGCCCACAGGCCAAGGACGCGTGGGAAGAGACTCAATCTTCTAGATGGGTGGTAGCAGCCACGGCCTTCTGTCCTCTGGGTCCCCGCAAGCCTGGATGAACTCAAGATCTGACTCAGTGGCACAGTGAGGGGACCTTCGAGGCCTCCGTGACCATCCTTGGACTTCACCTCTCATGACTTTCAGGCAGAGAGGCCCTCCCACGCCCACAATAGGCCGAGCCCAGCCTTCCTCGGATTTGCCTCCAGGCCTGACGTTTACTTCCCTTTCTAAGTGGTGAGTAGCTTGGTGATGGTGGATGAGAAGGAACCAGAGACAAAACCTGCCTCACAGGCAAAGCTGTCACAGTCCTCGGAAGACTAAAGTCACAAGGGCCTGTGGGTGCCTGCACGGCTGCCCAAAGGGGGGTGATGCCAGCCCCAGGCCCATTGCCTTTGTAGGCTGGGGTCCTGCAGTGCTGGGTGGGAGGGGGCGGCTCTGTCCACGTGTGAAAAGCCCAGGGTGGCTGTAGCTTTCAGCAGACGGCAGTTCTCAGTTTGCCTCTTACTCCCCTGACAAATCCCCCTCTGGCCCTTTTTCCTTTTTGTCTTCAGTGGGGGTCAGGAGGCGGCAGACCCAAAGACCTCTTCTTACCACCTTGTCTTTTCCATGGAGGTTCCCACGCAACGCTTGTCCCTGTCCCTGAGATTTCAGACCTTTCCACAGCGCAAAGCCTCCTGCCTTGAGACTACTGCAGTGAGCAAGGTGAACCCCATCCCCAAGCTATGGCAAGAATGCTGGCCTCTTCCGTCGCTCCTAAGTTCCAGGCTGAACTCTTCCTTCAACTCAACAGATCCAAAATGAAACCGGCGTCTTTAGCTCACCCTCGTCCCCCGCTGCCCCTGCCAGGGTCTTGGCCACCCTGATCCAGGCCCCCGGTCACACCTCCAGGCCTGGCAATAATATTACCTGGACTCCTTGAAGACTGCAACCAGATTAATCATCCCGGAGCTCTGCTTTGATAATATCACTTTTATAGACACATAAAAAGAAGCATCGAGGCAGCCAGTCATGCTAAATCTTAACCATCTTTACAGAATTTTTAGTGCAGCCCATCAAAATTGTCACCAGCCCTGAAGGTTCCACGTTTATGGTGTCCATGATAACACCTCTATGCTGGAGGCAGCAGCACTTGGAGATGGTGCAGAGCTGGCACTGCAGGAGCTGTCCTCGCCAGGCCTGATCTCACAGCCAGGCCTGCTTCTCCTGGTTCCGCACAGAGCCCATGGTCACCTCCTGCGTCTCCCACCCCAGAGGCGTAAGTGAGCAGTCTCTGGGTACCACCGGCACTCCTCTGCGAGGTGACAGATGACAGCTTTAAAGACGTTGGGCCGTTGGGCATCACCTTTTCAGTGGCTGGGTGCGAGGGGCCTGCGAGTCCTTGGCAGGGGCTGGCGTGGGCAGGCTGGTCGGCTTCAGCAGCGGCTGTGGGCCAAACGGCTTGGGAGCAGTTGTGCCGAGCAGGGACTGGACCGGAGGGGAACAGGAAGTGGGACCAACAGTTTTGATTGGGGGCTGCGTTATAGGTGGTTGTTTTCTGTGAAAGCCCCATTGATGTCACAGTGACGTGTGGTAATAACAAAAAAGACAACACTTGTAAAGACACAGAGGCAGTGAGGAATAGAAACAATTTGGTGAGCTTTGTGGAGCTGGACTCCCTGAGTTCAAAACCCAGCTTCAACACTGACTGGCTGTGTGACCGCCCGACCTCGTCTCCATCTGCCCGGGAGGCCGTCCCTGACTGCCTCAGTGTGCTGTCGGCTCAGTGTCTCCTGGTCTCCCAGGACTGACCTGCTGGGCCGTGTACTCGGGGTTCTGTGCATGGCTTCTGGGGCTGTGTATACAGTGACGAGCACAGCACGTGTTTCCCCAACTAGTTTGTAATCTCTGAGCGCACAGACTTGATTTAAATTTCTTCCGGACCCTGCGGTGCTCTGGGAATGCTGTCTAATTGTTGCGACTTTACTCCTGTGGCCTGTGCTAGCTGCCCGGTTGGCAGTTGGGACTGAAGGATGCTCATCCACTTGCCTGACCACAAGCCTGGCACCAGCCCTGCCTTTGTTCTCCCACGAGTCCCCTTGAAGGTGACCCATTCGTGGTGGGAGGTGTAGAGTCCAGCAGGGCTCTTGCACCTTTTGCCCTCCTGAGTCCTGGAGGAAGAGCTCGTTTCCTCATCCGTACAGAGGGAAAAACAAATGAGCAGTTACCTTGGGCAGAGTCCACAGTCCAGCCTGCTTGGCTGCCGGGGGGAGGTGCCAACTGCAGAAGGCATGGGTCCTTCCAGGTGTGGACTCGGCCCCTGGGCACTGCGATCTGTGGCCTCCTTACCGATGGTGAGGAGTGGAGAAGAGTCTCTCTGCTGTGCATGGCAGCCTCAGCCCACACAGGATGCTGGCATTTCCGTGCTATTAAATAATTAACTTGGTACTACGTGGAGTAAAACACACATTGGTCTGGTAAAAGGCCTCAATTAATTGCTTTCGTGTTAGCTGTGTACTGTGTCTCCAGGAGGAGATAAGAGGTGGGAACGTGGGTTTTGAAGCCAAGCTGAGAGACACCCTCACAAAAGGTGGTAAGTCCCCCTCTCCCATGCAGTTGGGTCTGTTCAGTGGCGCAGTGCAGAGGTGGCAGCCACTGCGTTTTGTCTCTGGTCGTCTTTGGGGGAGTAGGGAGGGGGACATGGGACCCAGCTCCCTGCTGATGGGTGGTGTGTGACTGGCTGCCTCGGATGGGCCGACCCAGGCTGTGACTGGTGGTGGCAACATTGGGCTGCTTTTCTGCCACTGCTCTTGGAAAACGCTCTGAGTCATCACATGCCTGCCTTCTGCACCTTCCGGAGGCGGCCTCTGCTGACTGCATGTGGCTGTCAAGGCTGGGGCCATTCATGGGGCCTGCAATGCCGCCTAACACACACAGTGACTGGGAGGCGTTGTCTCGTGGTAGCTTGCACTGTGTGGATTGGTGCCCACCCCACCATGTTGCCCTCGTGTGGTGTCGTGTCCACCTCCCCACAGGATGTCCCGTCCTCCAGGGCAGAGACTGCTTGATTCTTGTGTTTCCTGCCAGAGCTCAGGGTCCAGGGCCCCTGCTGCTCGCCAGGACTGTGCTGAGCTCCTGCAGGTGGGGATGCAGCAGCCCTGAGAGTAGGCGCTTAACAATGATTTCAAATAAATGGACGTTCTCAGATGTGACTGGGCGCCCCTTTGGTTTTAGGGACCATTGTGGGCAGTGGAGTTACGGTGAGACCAAGACACACCAAAGCTCCCTCATGGAGCTTAGATTTTGGTGAGAGGAGATGTGCGGTAAACAAATACAAAAGGAAGAGGCCCAGGATTCTGGGGTGGTGATCAGCAAAGGACAATAGAGCCAGAGGGCAGGAAATGCCAGGGCGTGGGGGATGGGAGGAAGCTGCCATTTCTTTTTAATTTTTATTTTCTGTAGGTACATAGAAAGTATAGATATTTACGGGGTGTGTGGGGTATTTTGATACTGGCGTACAATGGATAATAACCACATCAGGGTGAGGTGGGGTGTCCATCCCCCCCAAGCACTTTTCCTTTGTGGTACAGAGAGCTGCAGTTTTAAGAAGGGTGGTCAGGGAAGCTGTGACTGAGAAGGTGACGTTTAGGCCAAGGCTGGG